GGGAAAGGTAAAAGAAGAAAAAAAAAAAAAAAAGAGAGAGAGAGAGAGAGAGAAAGAGGAAAAAAGAAAGAAAAAAGAAAGAGGCTATTAATCTTCCCATTTTCTTTTTTTTTATTGTTTAAAGAATTATTTATCTAATTCCATTTGCTATCATTATTTTGTAATTTGGCCAGAGAAAGAGGAAAGGAAAGCGAGAAAGCAAGCCACCAGGTCTGGGTCTCTAACTATAGCCAGCCCTGTGGGAATCTAGTGCTCCTAACCACCATGCCACCTGCCGGCCCCAAACTTCCCATTTTCAAGGTAAGGAACTGAGTCCCAGAGAGAAGGACCTACCCCTACCCCCATGGCTAGAAGGATAAAGCTGAGGTCAGTCCCAGAGGCCAACCCAATTTGGAAAACTGTCAATGCCACATCAGGCATGGGCTGATGCCTGCCCACATCCACCAAGTGTCCCCGGGAAAGCAGAAGTGTGTCCTCTTCCCTCTCCAGGTCTCACTTCCTGCTGTGCATGGCTGGGCTGAAGGCTTCCAGCGGGAGGGTCCCAGGAAAAAGAGAAGTGGGAGTGAGCATGGGGAGGCTGACTGTCTGCACCCACCTCCTCTCTATCCTGGCAGAGGTTCCTCTTCTCGCCTGTCACTGCAGGTCAGAGGGCAGGCTTGGGGACAGCCTCACCCCCTACTGCTCTCCACCATCTATCCCCCTCCTTCTTGGGTCTCATGGTAGTATCATCGCCCTTGTGGGGGACTGTGTGACTTCAGGCAAGTTGCTGAATCTCTATAAACCTCTATAAATCTCTTTCTTGCCCAATTGAGGATGAGAAAGAAATTGACTCAAAGGGCCAGGAGGTAGCATGATGGTTAAGGTGCTGGACTCCCACAGGGCCAATGCTGCTGGAGTCATAGGTTTGGCAGCTTGAAAATCATACCAGGCATGTGTGAGTGCCCGGAATCCCAGGAGAATGTAGGAGAAAGGACTGTGGCATAGCTGTCCCCAGGGGATGACTTCTCACTTTCCCTCTCCTCGTCTCTGTCTCTGGAGAGCACACATATCCTATGGCAAAAAAAAAAAAAAAAAAAAAAAAAAAAAAGAAGAAGAAGGAAAAAGAAAGAAATTGACCCTGGGACCAGCTGTTGGCTTAATGCTATATTGCTGGACTCCCATGTAGTCGACCGTGATTCGAGTCCTGGACCTGTTGGCTTAAACTCACATCAGGCACGTGTGCATGCATGCCCAAGATCCTGAGAAGAGAATGGAAGAGAAGGGATTGTGGTGTGGCCATCCCTCCTGGGGGGTGATTTCTCGCTTTCTGTCTCTCTGCCTCTCTGTCTTTTTGGTGAGCAGATGCACCCTATAGCAAAAACCTCTCCAAAAAAAAAAAAAAAAGAAGAGAGAGAACAGAGAAAAAAGGAAAGAAAGGAAGAAAGAAAGAAAGAAAGAAAGAAAGAAAGAAAGAAAGAAAGAAAGAAAGAAAGAAAGAAAGAAAGAAAGAAAGAAAGAAAAAGAAAGAAGGAAATTGACCCAATAAGGTAGTGGTGAGAAGTCAGTGAGTTAATTCAGGAACGTACTTGGCACGTACTGGGCACTCAGGAAGTGCCGGCTGTCGATATTATGACGTGCAAACCAGTTTGCATGTACCATATCATTAAACTTTACACCCGAAAAGGCAGGGACTTGATGCCCATTTTCCAGAGACAGAAACTGAGACTCAGAAAAGTTAACATATTCATCCTAGGCCACACAGCCAGGACGTAGACCTAAGATATCTGGCTTCAGAGCCAAACTCCTTCCAGCATACTGTGTGACTGTGGGGTTGGGGTCTCCAGGGTAAAATCGAGACACCTGAGGTGTGTGGCTGTGAGCTGTGTGGCTATGGTGGCTTTGTGGTTCCACGGGGCAGGGCTGTAGAGATGTGTATTCCAGCTATGGCCCTCTCCATCCTCATCATGCCGTTCCCGGTGTAGGTGTGAGATCCGGGCCACCGGGCAGGGGTGTACCGAACGTGACAGTTGTTACCAGGAAACCTCATGCACACACACAGAATAATAATGACAAACACTCAACATCACAGTCTTCTCAACACTCACGTGCATCAATTCCTTCAACTCTGCGAAGTGGGAGCCACTGCTGTTATCCCATTTTACAATCGAGGAAACTGAGGCACAGAGCTAGGGAGTGGTCAAGTCTGGACTCGGCCTGGACCCAGCATCTGTGGTTTTCAGCACTAAGCTCCATGGCCTCTCTGGACAGATAACAGGTGTTTTTATTATTATTGATGTTCTTCCTGGGTGTTGAGAAAAGACGTTGGAGACAGATGGATTTAAGTTCCCCCTTTATCAGTGACGTACTAGGGATTTTAGGTCTGAATGTCAGTGTCCTTTCGTGTCTAATGGGGGCGCACGACTCGTAATGCACTCAGTAAATGATGGACACATTTTCCTTTTCTGTTTTTCTTTTCTTTTCTTTTCTTTTTTTTTGGGAGAGGTTTTTGCTATAGGGCGTGCACACTCGCCAGAAAGACAGAGAGAGACAGAGAGACAGAATGCAAGAAATCTCCCCCCAAGGAGGATGGCCATGCCACAATCCCTTCTCCTCCATTCTCCTCTCGGGATCCTGGGCACACACGCACACGCACCCTGCGTGAGTTTAAGCCACTGGGTGTGGTACTTGAACCATGGTTGACTACATGGGAGTCCAGCTACATAGCCATTACACCAACTGCTGGTTCCTGCATTTTCCTTTTCTAAAGATAATACATGATATGCATAATCTTCCTTGTACATCTAGATTGTTTGCTACACATATTGACCTTGAAGAGAAGCTACAGACCCTTCCCAGCTCCAAGAAGGCTCTGCCTGCTCCCAGAGATGGTCACTCTGACTTCCACTGTAGGATGTTGCTCCTGCCTGTGGTGGAACTTCCTATCAATGGGATCTCGCACTATTGTACTTTTATTTATTATCACGATTATTGTCATCACACTTTATTGTCATTATTATTGATGATGACTACTTGCCATGCACACGGTATCCTTCAGGCATAACTGCAATGATTATTTTTTAAAATAATTCTTTATTTAATTTATGTATCATTATTATGTTTTAGTTTGCTATAGGGCTCATGCACTCACCAGAGACAGAGAGAGAGAGAAAGTGAAAAAGCAAACAGCATGTCCAGGACTTGAACTGCTGTTGGCCTTGTGGAAGTCTAGTGCCCTAGCCACCACACCACCTGCTGGCCCAGTCTACATCTATATTTATTTTTATTTCTTTATCTTTTTTTAAAAAGAATTATTTTATTTATTTATTTATTTATTTTTAATTTGACCAGAGAGGGACAGAGTGAGTGAGTAAGAGAGGGAGAGAGAGAGAGAGAAAGTGAGAAAGCAAGTCGCCAGATCCAGGACTCAAACCATGGTCGGCCATGTGGGATTCCAGTGCTCTTAACCACCATGCCACCTGCCAGCCTCTATTTTTGTGATCTTTTTGGAGAGATTTTTGCGATAGGGCACGTGCACTTGCCTGAGAGACCAAGAATGATGGAGAGAAGGAAAGTGGGAAATCACCCCCAGAGGGAACAGCCACACCTCAATCTCCTCTTGGGATTTTGGGTACACACACACACACACACACACACACACACACACACACACATACACACACACACG